CTGCCCTGGTCCTCTGGCCCCGCCCCTCAGGTCCTGCCCTGGTCCTCTGGCCCCGCCCCTCAGGTCCTGCCCTGGTCCTCTGGCCCCGCCCCTCAAGCCACTCTGCTCTTCCAGCTGCGTCTGCCCCATAACTTACATGAGGTTTTGGGGTGGAAAAACTAGACACAAACCATAACAGATTACTACCAGTCTGAGCTGTGTAGTGAGACCCTGTGCCAAATGCATCATCATCATCATCACCATCATAATTAGAAAACAAAAACAGAACATAGCCTAACAACTTAGCATACACTTTTTTTTTTTTTTTTTTTTTTTTTTAGCATACACTTGTAACCCTAGCATTTGGGAGGTGAGACAGGGAGACTTGTTTTAGCCCATACAATGAAAAAGGAAGGAAGGAAGGAAGGAAGGGAAAAGGAAGGAAAGAAGGAAGGAGAAGGGTTAAATCTCAGCTCTGCCACCCATTAGCTCTGTGATCTTTACTTATTTAGTCTTTTTGAGATAGGGTCTCACTATGCAGTTCAGGCTGGCCTTGAGCTCGACTGTGTGCCACCAGCCACCACACCTGGCTGTAGACTCTTAAAAGGAGTATAGTGCTAAGGACTGAGCTCCACGGTAAAGACGGGAGAGGTGTGGGGTTGGAGGAAAACAAGGCTCTGGGTTGTGTGACTCCAGGACCCTTAGTCAGAGGCTGAGGATGGACAAATGCCTTAACCTCAGGCCGCTTCTCTTTTTCCCACTCTTTGGGGTTAATGTTAGACCCCACTCTGTCCCCCCAAGAAATTAGAATAATGTGTCTCATGAGAACAAGAATATTCTACAAAAGGAAAAATGATAACTCGTGATCAGAGATTTTGACATGGAGGAAATTCAAAACATGACACAAGTAATACATGAGCTGAGGAATCTGGATGTATGCAGAGAGAAGCGTGAAGTGCCCCCATCGGCTTCCACGAGCTGAGCCACAGTGTGGAGCCCATCTTTGCGGCTGGTCTCTTTGCTCTGACATCTGTACATACACACAGCTAAGAGCTGACACTCACCAAGTCCTTGCTGCATAGTAGGCACCGCTGCAAACAAGGAGTTTGCATAAATTTTCCTCAAATGGCCCGCCACAGTCTGCCAGGGCCATGGACACTTAATTATCTCTCTTGGTGCATCCCAACTGCACCAGCAGCAGCAGCCCAAGTCCTTTTCCTGGTCATGTGACAACAGGCCCTGACTATGTACTTTTTCTTTTTTTAACCATTTTCTTGTAGTGTCAAATGCATAGCCTTGGACCCAAATAAAACTGTCACTACACAGAGTCCAAAAACGTCCCCCAACAGGGAACATTAGCTCAGCCCGTCAGGCCCTGGCTGTGATGCTGTGTGAAAGCATGTCAGAGTGTGCCGCTGCGAGGCATGGCTGATTTATTAGACAGGCAGAAAGGAAGACCAAGAGGGACGAGGCTTCTGCTAGAGCAGCTGAGGGAGCACAGCTCCAAGGAGAGGATCAGAGGGAAATCCTCACCAAGCCACAGGACCAGGGCTGAGGGGCCAGCTGACCCGGGAGAGTGTCTCAGTCTGGTTCCACAAGGCACCTCTGGAGAAACTTTTTCTTTTTTTCCCACATTGTTTCCTGCATGGTTTATCTCCTCAGCCATTGCCCGAAGGACTCTGACAAGTTGTAGGAATATGCAGGTGCAGGCACGAGGCCCAGCTTCTCCAGCATCATGAAAAGGGATCGCACATCATGGGGCGGATCCCTATGCTCCCCTAGGCCACCTGGACAGAGCCCAGGGAGAGTGACCTCCTGCGGTATCCGTGTTGGATGGAGGAACTCTTATCCCTTACTCCCGACTCTGTCAGATGCTTGCTTCTGCTTGGGGCAGTCTCAGTTTTTTATGTATTTTTTTTTAATTTTTGCTTTTGTTCTATTTTTGAGAAAGATGTTGCCTTGATCTCATTATATAGTCCAGGCCAGCTCAAACTCATGGCAATCTACCTGCCTCAGTCTCCCAGATGCTAACATTATAGGCATGTGCCACTGTGCCTGCTTGGGGCAGGCTCGGTTTTCAGAAGGCTCTGCTGGAATTCAGGGTGATCGTATGATATGTGGTGGAAAAATACAGTGTGTGTTTAAAATTTAAAAACACCTGGGCACGGCAGTGCACACTTGTAATCCTAGCACTCAGAAGGCTGAGGCAGGAGGATCCTTGTAAGTTCGAGATCAACCTGGACTACAAAGTGAGCTCAAGGCCAGCCTGAATTGCATAGTGAAGCCAGGGAGATAGTTCAGTGGAATAAGCACTTGCCTGGCAAGCACAAGGACCTGAGTTCAATCCCTGGTTCTGCAAAAAAAAAAAAAGAAGAAGAAGAAGAAGAAGAAGAAGAAGAAGAAGAAGAAGAAGAAGAAGAAGAAGAAGAAGAAGAAGAAGAAGAAGAAGAAAGACAAAAATAAAATAAATTTATTGCAGTGAAAGACACACAGGCATGAATCCTCCTCAAAATATTCCCCCTGGCTTTGAATACACTTATCATTCTTGCTGTCATTGAAAGAGGCCCAAAGTGGAGTTACAGAGCCTAAACTCACTCTCCTTGTGGAATTAATTTCAGGGTCCCTGACACCCATACCACCACAGAAAAAGAATTTTCAGGACTAGTCAGTAAGATGTATGGGCAGGGTTTCATTAGGCAGAAATTTACTGTTTTGTTTATTTGTTTTTATGTATTTGGTACAGGGTCTCACTAAGCAGCTCAGACTCACAGCGATCCTCCTATTTTCAGCCTCCCCAGCGCTGGGATCACAGGCATGCACTATCATACCCGATCTCCATCCCCGGCTCAGCAACCAAGGGTGGGGCTGGCGCAGCAAGTGGTTCTGGGAATCGAACCCCAATTCCTGTGCTTGCATAAGCAGGTGTTTTGTCCGCTGTACTCTCTCACTGGCCCTGTTTTTTGTTTTGAGATAAGACCTCACCATGCAGTTCAGGCTGGTCTTGAACCCACTGTAGAGTCCAGGCTGGCCTTGAACTTGCAGTGATCCTCCCACCTCAGCCTCCTGAGGGCTGGGATTACAAGAAGGCACCACCATATCCAACCTGAGATGGATGTTTTGTCACTCACACATAACAAGACTTTAAGATCCATATCTGGGTATAGTGATACACATCTGTAACCTCAGGACTCTGGGAGGCTGAAACAGGATCATCACAAGCTCAAGTCCAGCTGGGGATATAGCTCAGTGACTTAAGCACCTGGTTGGCAAGCAGAAGGTTCTGAGTTCGATCCCTAGTACAGCCTGATTCACTAAAGTTAATAAAATAAAGTAAAAATCTGCTGGGAATGTTGCTCAATGCAAAAGGCCTGGATTCATTTTTTTTTAGCATGCACGCACACACACACACACACACACACACACACACACACTCACACATTCACACACACACAAATCCATTATCATTTGTATGTCCAGGACTGTGATGCCAACATAAACATATAACCCTTAATTATGAACCACATTTTTAAGCTTTTGGACTCCAAGGGAGTTTCCTAATATGTCCTTCAGTTTCTCCCAACTAATTTTTTTTTTTAAATTATATTTGATTGTTATAGGGTCTCATTACGCAGCTCAGACTCATGGTGATCCTCCTACTTTCAGCCTCCCCAGCGCTGGGATTACAGGCCTATGCTACTAGGCCTGGACTCTGGTTGGCTCAGCCCACGCTGGGGGTGGGGCTGGCATAGCATGTGGTGCCAGGGATCGAACCACGGTTCCAGCACTTGGGTAAGCAGGGGCTTTAGTCCGCTGAGCTATCTCACCGGTCCCTAATTTGTTTCTTAATCAAAAATGTTATCTTTAAATTATTGCAATAAAATCAATATAGCATTGTGAGTAAAACAAACAACAAGACCAAAGCAAATACATGTATATATGTATGTATGTATGTATGTATGTATGTATGTATGTATGCATCTATCTATCTATCTATTTGGCTCTTTCCAATTTATTGCATGAAGGAGTTACACTGGCCAGGGCCAGGGAGATGGCCCAGTAGAATAAGCGCTTGCCTGGCAAGCGCAAGGGTCTGAGTTCAATCCCTGGTTCCACCAAAAAAAAAAAAAAAAAAAAAAAAAAAAGTTACACTGGTCCAAGTGAAAGCAGATCCCAATGGTTATATTATATAAGCTGTGAGGTTTTTAAACTTGTGACAAGGGACTGAAAGGGCGCTCCACTCATTGCAAGGAAATTTTCACATATGCTTCAGGGAGACACAAACACTTAAAGCCCACGAACCTTCAGCTATCGTCCTTGGCCAGTCCAATCTCCACCAGGAACCAGCATGTGTTCTTGCGTGGCTCACCCTGGAGCTGGATTCTCCACATTCTGGGTGCTTGGTGACAGCACCACTGCAGGCAGACTTTCTTAACCGCCTTCACCAGTTTCTTTTTATCATAATCATCAGCGATCCCTCGGGCGGTAGTGAGGGTCTTCCTGCTGTTTCTCTGTTGGATTCTTATGTGGATATAATCTTGAGCGCGAGCAGCAAGTGGTCAGCACCCTGACTTGCATCAGTAAAGGGGTTGTGAGAGTAGAGGTTCTGGATAGCAGACATAGGAGACATAGCAGACATAGGTGGAAAAGGCCTAGGAAGGCAGCCGATGAGAGGGGGTGGGGTGGGCTGAATGATGGAATGGATCGCTGGGGAAGTAAAGGCCTCCAGGAGGCAGCTGAGTCCTTTGCTGCAACTCATTGACTGGGGCAAAGACTCTAATTTTATATTTTAAAATATTTTTAATTTTTTTTTTTTTCAGAACCAGGAATTGAACTCAGGCCCTTGCGCTTGCCAGGGAAGCACTTATTCCACTGAGCCATCTCCCCAGCCCTTTAAAATCTTATTTATTCATTGGGTAGAGGGTCTCAATACACAGCTCAAACTCTTAGTGATCTTCCTGTCTTAGCCCCCCCAGCCCTGGGATTACAGGTGTGTGCCACCATGCCCAGCTTCAGTGACCTGCACAGCGTGCGGTATCAGGGATCGAACCCTGGTCCTGGCTCTTACCAGGCAGGTGTTTAGACTTCCGAGCTATCTCCCCAGCCCCAAAGAGTATAAATTTAAAAATACAATCCCAACCCTGCTCTGCTGTGACAAGCACCACTAACAGTTTGATACTAACAGGTATCTACCCTACCCATTTTTCTGAACATGTCCAATAATATTTTTTTGCACATGTACGCGTTCCTCAAATTAAATGCACAGACGCTGCATCCTTTTCAACTCTGACATCGTGCGGTGCACACTCTTATTACTTCCCTTATTCGTTTAACACATCTCAGCAGCTAGCTGAGGGCCACTGAGGTGCAGGAATGCAGAGGGCAGGGCGGAGGGAACACGATGCACAGTGAGTGGCCCTGCCTAGCGTCCTTGGCCTGACAACCGAGGAGGCCGTGAAGGCAGCTCAGTGAGGCCCAATACAAAGGGCCAGGGCGACAGTTTGCGTCTGTTCCCGGCGGCCTCAGAGGAAGGGAAACACAGAGCAAGTTCTGTCCACACACAATAAGCTTCCTCGCACTGCAAAGGGATTTGGCTTTGGGCTCCTGCTTCCCCTGAGAGCTGCGGGCTCTGTTGGACTGTTGGTGCCCAGACCACAGCCGAGCTGCAGGGGTCAGTCACATCTTTGGGACTTCGCGAGTGCAGCGGTGGATGGAGCCTGCGGGCTCTGGACGCTCCCGGCTTCCGGACCCAGGAGGAGGGGCAGGTCCAATATGCTGATTGACACTAGAGGGTGCTCGCGGAGGAGCCAAGGGACTGAACTGCGGCAGGTTAGAAATACCCACCTGCGCTTGCTCTGCTCGGGGATCTTAGGTCTTTGTTCATTCCGCAAATCTTTGGCATCTGTTCTCGACACAGGTCTAGATGATGGCATCAAAACCTCTCTAAATCCTGTTTACTTTTTGAAGCATCAATTACCCATGCGGGAATTTTATCTCTAAGCGAACAGTCAAGGACGTACTCAGAGATTTAACCACAAAGGTGCTCATTGCCCTAACGTTCCAGAAATGCAAAATGTCAGGCCTATTTCAACGATTTGGCAGAAGAGAGCTGTTTGTGTAAACAGTGCGTGGAGCGATGCAATACAGCGCAGCCAGAGCGTCGCTGTGGGCCACCTGCGTCCTGCAGGCCACCTGTTTCCACGCAGCCTGTGAGCTAAGAGTGGCTCTCACATTTTTAAATGGTTGAAAAAAATGAAAAGCCATGTGGACACAATCTGAAATTCCAATCTAAGGCACCATAAATAAACTTCGGGAGCGCGGCCACGATCGCTCATGCACATCTCATCTGTGGTCTCTTATGCACGGTAGTCGTTCCCCGGACCATGGGACCCGCAAAGCCAATACCTGGACCATCTCATCCTTTCCTGGGAATGTTGGCTGACCCCAGTCACGGAGGAATGCTTGATGGCATGCAAATGAACCAAATATAATTTTATGTACAATACACTATCGCTCTGGTAACAGGAGGAATACAAGCACATCCAGTGCCATATTGCAGAGAGAAAGAAAGGCTGGGATGAACACATTCCAGCATTAACACTTATCTCGGGGGAGTGGGATCACAGATGAGCTTTGCCTCCTTATTTTTGCATGCTGGGATTTGAATGCTTTTGTTGCCTCTGAGACTCATGTTGAAACCCAGGGCCTAGTTCATCGCCACTGGAAATAGGGCCTAAGGAGAGTGGTTTGTCCTGAGCGTCCTGCCCCAAGTGGACGAGCGATGCAGTGGAATGACTCACTCTTTAGCTCTTCTGCCACATGAGCACACAGCCTCA